ACATGAATCCCAGGAGTTTATTATATTACTAGAAGCCGGGTGAATGACATTCGTGCACTCGGGGGCAGGAGGGGTGTTGTACCTCAGCCCAGCCTGTGTCCTTTCAGAGTCCAGGAGCTCTCAGGGGATGTCCGACTGACGGCTTAGGCCAGCTCCCTGCAGTTGGACATCCTTAGTGCTGCTGAGGAGGCTGGAGAGGCTCCCACCACCGCCACTGTGCTCGCCAGCTGTCAGCCCAGCTTGTGGCTGAGCAGCGCTTCATAGCAACTGGTCTTTCCGCCGTTCAGTTGATTTGCATATTATCCTTTTATTACATAGGAATATCCCCATTTTACTGATGTAAGATATGAAGTTCAGAGAGGTCACACAAATACAAGTGGCAAGAGCTGCTTCAAATTCTTTTGTAAAATGAGCTAATGAATGAATGGGTGAAAATAAGATTAAGAGGCAAAGTTGGGATTCTAATCAGATCTGAATGACCATACATAGCCTTCTGACTGGCTTGCATGTGGGACCTCTCAAACAGGACAGCCTCATCAGGGAGCAGAACTCCTGGGGCATAAGTAACATCCTTCAACTGATAAACTTATACCCAAGTTCTCTTGGGATGAGATGCTACCTGAGATGCTTCTGAACTCTGACACTATCTGTATTTTATCCTCTCCTTTGTGTACCAAGGAAAGGGAATCCCCCTCTTATTCTAGGGTCTCACACAGGAAGCCCAGATACTGCTGGTCTTGTACCCACATCCTCATTCAGGTGCCACCCCACTGGAACAGATTCCACCACATCCAAATGGGTACATCTAACACCTCAGATGACTCCAAAAGTAAATGGAACTAAACACTGGGTGATCCTGTGCCAACTACTTAACCTCTCTGAGCTGAGTGGTGCTTGGCACAGAGTCAGTGTTTGGGGATCATTTGTAGAAGGGATTGAATGGAGGGAGGGAGGATGAGTAGGTTATAAACCACAACAGCTGATATGGTGAAACAGCAGACATTTGGACTGTCCACTTTTCTTGCCATTTCCAGTTATCAATCTGAGAAGTATAGAACCAGAAGAGGAAGGAGATTTCTTTTCTTGGGCTATAACTCAGGAAATACGCTCATATCACTTATGTTTTTAACCTTCTTTCTCAGTAGGCAGTCTGCCCATATCCCTAAACACACACTGAGATAAGCATTTCTTGAGCACAGTAAAGAGAACTTATTAAAAGATAAAGGCCTGAGGATTTGTGGGGCACAGCCTCTGCAGAGAGGTCAAATAACTAGTCCAAGGCCTGCCTAGAGAGACCAAGCTCTATCTCAGCATTTGCCTCCTTAGAGATTTCCCAGGCCAGGTCCCTCCCAGGGTCCTGTCCTAGTTTGGGCTTTGTTCTACTTTTCTGAAAGTAACTAAAAGCAAGAATTCAAGAGCCTGAGAGAATCATGGGGTTGGCAAGTCCAAACCCCAAGGAAGAACATACACATTCAGGGTCTTTATTCATCAGTACTTGAGAACCAAGAGTGCATTCACCCAAAGACAAAAGACGTGCACTGCCTAGTCCACAAATGGGATAAGACCAGGACTGCAATATTAATGACCAGGGTGTTTGAATGACTGTTGCACTGCCACCTTGTTATTCATTCGTTAATGGATGTCCAGCCAAATGATCAGCAGCTTCATAAGGGACAACTTCTGTCACATTCAGAATCTCTCGCCAGCATGCAAATCAACTTCCTGGAGGTATCAGGAATGGCTTATCCATTTTATAGCTCCTGAACTGTGCCTCTCACCAAAGAACTAAGAAAAAGAGTCTGGCCTCACAGTACTCAGCCACCACCCCAAGAGCCAGGAAAAGACCTTTTTTAAAAAAATAAAATATCCCACTTGACGGGCCATAGAGGAAATAATACTGTGCTACAATCTACAATAAAAAGTTCTCTCTAGAAAAGAATTCAGATTCCAAAGAGTATATACTATATGATTTCACTTATAGAAAGTCCAAAATTAGACAAAAGTCTCCCGTGGTGTGGAGTTAAGAGATGCTTGCCTCTGTGTAGGAAGGAGGCACTAATAAGCGCGAGGGGGGCTTTGGGAATGCCTGATAACCTTTATTTTTATCTGTCTGCTGGGTGCATGAGTGTTTGCTTTATAATAAAGCTGTAAACGTAAGGATTTGTGTGATTCTCTATGTCTTTTACACATCAATAAAATGACAAATTAAAAAATCACTCTTTGTAGACAGAAAGTGGCTTATACTTACTACTGCCTGCTTACAGAATCCCGTTCATGTATACTGTGCCAGAGACTTTAAAAAAGAACAAACCTATAAGCCTATTTTCTCACCTTCAAATGGTTTTTTTATGGTTTTCAAATTGAGTAAGAGGGGCTTTTTTTTTTTTCCAGGTTGACTCTCACTGAATTTCAGGGCCTAATCAAGCCTCTTTTTGCACTTGGTCAATCTCTGGATGGGCTAAATTCTGGCTATGGTCCCACAAAGAGATCAACAAAGTAATCTTTAAGCCTCCCAGGTCAGGGACGGAGGAGAGCAGACACAATGAGTGCAGGCTACTTAGGCATCTTCCCCCAGATTACACAATGAGTTTCTGGTTGGGGGCCCTGTGATGCTCTGTCCAAGGACTATCACTTTCCTACTACAGCTCCTTCCACGGGTCAACTGATAAACACTCTCCTCTGGGAACTGAGGAAAATGAGCCCAGGAAACATCACTGGGCACTCTCTATATAGAGCAGACAAGCGGCTGACAGGATTCCTCTCCGACAGGAAACCATTAGTCTCGGAGAGCCAGGAAGAGGACGAGGGAAATGCTGAGTCTGCAACAGGGCATTGCAACACAGCCCCGCGCTTTTGTGGAAAGGATGTTCTCCTAACCCAAACACAGCTGCATAAATGGACTCCACTTAAAAACACACACAAAAGAAATGTAAAGCCTATAAATAGGGAACACACAACCCTGCTTAATAATTTTCAAGTTCTTTCTCCACTTTCTTTTTTAGAAAGTAGCTAAAAATAAAGGCTCAAAATTTGAAATAATGTAAACAAGTAATTCTCTCTCTCTCTCTCTCTCTCTCTCACACACACACACACACACACACACAAACACTGCGCTTTCCCCATATATGGCTGCATTACTCTTTAGCCTTTGAAAAGGCCAAATGAAGAGATGACCAACAACCAAAATAATCCTTCAGACATTTGAAAATCAAGAGAAAGAACTAGAAGAGTTGATGATTGACAAACAATTGCAAGGCTCAATGGGAGTAAATAACACGGAGAGGGATTAGTTGCCATAGTACTTTAAAAACATGGGCACATGCATTTTGACACTGGACCCCTTGGATAAAGGGACTGTTTTGCCCTCTGGCCTCAGCACTGAGAAAACTACAACTGTGGTAATTTAACATAAAGGACTTAAAGAAGGAAACCAGTGCAGGGGCATGACTGAAAATTTAATTAAGGCCCCTTTCAGTATGCAAACTGTAATGGAGATGAGGGCACATCTCAAGGTCAGAAGAAAGAGGAGACATGCAAAAGAGGAGAGCGTGGGGATTCAAATGAAAGGACAGTGTGAGGAGCAGAGGTTGGCTCTGAAAGACCGCTTCCTCACGATGGAAGGTTATTATGGTGTCTGTTGGGTCCTATGGAAATGTTTCCGTAGAAAAGATTAACACATTCATGTCAAATAAATGCCACCTTTGTGAGGCAGGGTGGAGAGGTCACACTGCACAGTGTCTTCTGGTTTACAAAGCCTTGTTATAGACAATCCTGGACACAAGGTAAAGCACCTGCTTTTACTGATATGGAAACTGAGGCTCAGGGATGGTTAGGAAACTAACACAGGTCTACAGAGGGTGACTTCATGCAAGAGGGCTGCAGTAGCGATTTGAAGCTAACTCTTCCAATATGCAGGTCAGGAAATCTCTGAAAGAGTACTGGTCAGAGTGCCAAGTTTAGGTCTGGATTGCAGCTTGTCCACCATCTCACTCTATGACTGTGGACAAGTAATTTTCCCTCTCCGATTCTCATCTTTAACTGGAAAATGATAGGGCTGTCCCAGATGAGAGAGGTGAGCAGAGGGGATGCAGAGAGAGAGATAGACCCTGCTCCCTGCACAGATCTGCAAGTCTGTCCTCGAAAATTCTCAGACAAGACCCTCAGACACTATCACCGCTTCATGCACAAAGACCGCCTGCCTGTTATAAACTGACTGCACACATGAAACCTAGAGAAATGATTTTCAAAACTTAAGACTAGAAAACCTCTTCATTCCTCCAAACATAAAATAAGAGAATTACTAAAAAGGCAAGATGAATTCTAAATTTTCATTCCACTACTTTTTTTCTTTTTTGCTCTCAGTGGACCTTTCTTGGATGCTTCAGATTCTTTTCCTGAAAATACAACTCACTTTTTGTTGATGCTGCACATTTCCTAAACATGCCTATAAAAGCTTTGTATTTGGACAGGGCATTAATAATAACAAACAACAGCGACAAACATAGCAGGCATATTTACTGAGGGGCTATGACAGGCACTCACTGTTGCTGAGTCCTTTCTATGTATCATCCTTTATCTCTACAATGAGGTAGATACTACTGTCTCCATTTTATAGATAAGAAAACTAAGGCTCACAGAAGTTTAGTGACTTGACCAAGGAAGACCATCTTAATAACTGCAGGGCTATTATTTAAACCTCTGTCTGGCTGATTCCAACGCCCATTCTTTCTTTTTCTCCTCTATTATGAGACTGCTAACCAACATGCTAAATGCATCTAAGACTCTGGTAATGCTGTTTGTTCATGATTTCATTTTGTCACCATCTGCAGAATGGGATACTTTCCTAGTGGTCATAAAGCACTCTCGCTGAAATCCCAGGGAGGTGGAGGGTAAGTAGGGTGAAGAAGAGATGGATTGGGCTGATGACATGTAAAGTGACCCTAAATACTTTTCCCCTGAGATCAGGTCCAGAATTGTGATTTCATTTCCAAATCACTAACCTGGTGAGGTACAAGCCCAAGAGAGGTTGGAGGCTCGTTCATGCGGTCGTCACTGCTGCTGGCAATGGCGTAGCCCCTGAGAAAAGGAAATGATTAGAGAAGCTCATTTAATAAAGGTTTATGTTTAACACATGTGAGGGTGATCTGGAGGCAGTCCATGTAAGATTTGTAAGGATAACCAAAGGCCCCTTGCTAGGCAGCATAGAACTGATTTCCCTTGCAGGGAAGGCAGAACAGTACTAAAAAATGCTTGAGTTTTGGAATCAGAAAGACTAGAAGTTTGTTTAACTTCTCTGTGTTTCAGGTCTATCACCTATAAAACAGGAATAATATGGTTGTGAGAAATAAATGAGAAATAAGTTAGATAAATTGCTGAGCACCATTTTTGGTTACGATATCTTGCTTATTCTGAGACAGTCTTAAAAAACGCCACAGCACATTTTCATATTGGAATTTGAAATGAAAAACGTTTCAACCATAACTTCTTGAGCTGATGTAAATGCTACCAAAATGCAGGAAGGAGAAAGAAGAGTGAGGAAGTAATTGGGCAGAAGAACGAGTACATTCCTTCCTGAACAATGATGTGTTTGCTTACAGCACAGAAGACATGCGACACAGGACCTGGTTTCAGCCCACAACCAGTGAAAACATGGCAGACAGAGGGGTCAGTGTCAGGAAATCCTAGAATCAGCTCTCCAAGATTTTCTCCTAGATACTTCCTGTCAGGAAGCCACTTCTTTCTCTTTAAAATTATTTTTTAAAATTAATTCAATTTTGCCTCACTTTATTACAAGATGAATTAATTCTATTGTTAAGTCATAAAGTAAGATCTTTCCTTGCTTGGAGAAGGTAGAGGTCCAGATTACAATTGTGCTAATTTTTGTATCTTTAATATAAAATATATACAATGTGTTAAACATATTGACTAAAAGGCCCAAGGTCAAACTGAAACAAAGAATACCAACCCGCTCATCTGTTTCCTCTTATATGTAAACCTAGAGAGCTACCAAGGTATGGAAGAATTGCAGATCTGAGAAAGGAGAGAAGCCCATAGAAGTAAACCAAGTATTTGCCAGAGAAGCTTTTTTCCATAAAGTGACTGCCAACCTCAAAAAACGTTTGGTAGGCAAGGATCAGAAGCTGAACAGGGATACTGACAGACTCATGGGGCTAGAGGGAAAACCACAGTTTGAGGTCTGCCAAAAGGAGGAACCATGGAAAATACCCTGAGCTTTGAGTTGGGGCTATATCCTCAGAGCAAAGGTGAACCAGAAATAGACAAATCCTAATTATACTTAGGAATTCTAGGACTGATAATCCACTTGGCCTAGCAGTTTGCCAGAAGGAAATGTAAATCACATAATCTCTATAAATGTTCATATGTGGTATAATGTCCAGTACTCAAGCAAAAATAACCAAGCAGCCCGGCTGGTGTGGCTCAGTAGTTGAGCATCGACTCATGTACCAGGAAATTGCTGGTTCGATCCCTGATCAGGGCATATGCCCAGGTTGCAGCTTGATCCCTGGTAGAATGCGTGCAGGAGGCAGCTGATTGATGTTTCTATCTCTCTCCCTCTCCCTTCTTCTCTCTGTAAAAAAATAAAAATAAACAAATAACCAACCAGATTCAAGGAAGTGAGACGTTTAAATACTAATTGGACATGTGATGTTATTAAGAAATTGCCTTTAATTTTTTTATATGTAAAAACAGTGACATAGCCCTAGTCTGTTTGGTTCAGTGGATAGAGCGTCAGCCTATGGACTGAAGGGTCTCAGGTTCAATTCCGGTCAAGGGCACATGCCTTGGTTGTGGGCTCGAACCCCAGTAGGGGCATGCAGGAAGCAGCTGATCAATCATTCTGTCATCACTGATGTTTCAATCTCTTTCTCCCTTCCTCTCTGAAATCAGTAAAAATGTATTTTTAAAAATAAAATAAAATAAAAACAGTGACATATACATACTAAAAAGATACATTTTTCTGAATAAAATGCTATGTCTTGGATTTGATTTAAAATAAGCCAGTAAGAGGAGGAGAAAACATGGAGAGCAGCACAGGTAAATAATGACTGGCCATGTGTTCGTAATTACTGAAGCTGGGTGGTGTATACTAGGGGTTTATTATTTATGTATATATCTTCTTTCATATGTTTGAATTTTCCATAATAAAAAGGTTTTCTTAAACTCTCTCTCTCTCTCTCTCTCTCTCTCTCTCTCTCTCTCTCTCTCTCTCAAACACTGGGTTTATGAGGAGACAATACATAACCAAAAGCCAAAGAAAACAATAGACAATAGGAAAAGACCCTTAGGAGATCCAGATAAGAGAGACATCTGATAAGATCTTAAAAGAAAAACATAGTTAAATGTTATCAAGAATGAAAAAGACCAAAATCACAACTTTAGCAGAGAACAGGAAATGTGTAAAATAAGATAAAGTTGAAATTCTGGAAATAAAACAGTTAATAATGAAATTAAAACTCAGTGGATGGTTTTAACGTACATTAGAAACAGAAAAAAAGTGAGTTAGTAAATTGGAAGATAAGCCAGACCAAAGCAAAGAAAGACAAAGTGATGGAAAATACAGAAAAGAGCATAGATGATTCTAACTGACATGCCACTGGAGACTCAAAAGGAAAGCAGCATGAGAGAAGGGGCAGAAGAATATTTTAACAGATAATGACTGAGAATTTTCCACAACAGATGAAAAACATCAAGACATGAATTCAAGAAGCAATAGAAAACACAATCAGAATAAATACAGTAGGTAAATCATAGTCCAACTTCTCAAATCCAACAATAATGAGAAAAGCTTAAGAACAACTGGGGGGAGGGGAAGAGGAAGAAAAACAAATTGTATCAAAGGATCAGCAACAGGATAAACTCCTAATTCTGCAACAAAGAAAAAGGTAATCAGAGACAATAGGATATACTTTCCACACGTTGAATTCCAATCTAGAATTCTATACACAGTAAAAATATATTTCAAACTTAAAGATAAAACAAAGACATTTTCAGATAAACAAAAACAAATTTATTTGTCACTAGCATATGTAAAGGATAATAAAAGGTATTCTTCAGGAAGAATGAAAATGCCCTTGGCTGGAAGCTTAAAGTCAGAGAAAGAAATTAAAAGTAACAAAAAGGAAAATGTTAGTAAAACAATACCAACAATATAACAATAATAACATCTTCTGGGGATTAAAATATACACAGAATTTTTAAAAAATGAGTGTGCAGACACTGCTGGTTACCTAACCAACATCCATTCTCCACTTCTGTCTTTTTTTTAAATTTCTTTATTGATTAAGTTATTATATATGCATCCTTATCCCCACATCTCCACTTCTGTCTTATCACAGTTCTATTCAGAGAGGCAATGTGCCCAGCCAGGATAACTGTCAGAGTCCCTTGTAGCTAAGAGTGAAAGGTCATGTGATGCTGAAGTTACAATCAATGGATAAGTCTTCCAGGAAAGCTCTTTAAAAGATGGGCAAGCCTCAGGTGGGCACAACTTTTATCTTTTGTTCATTTCTTTCTTCTTCTTTTTTAAAAAATTTTTCATTTATTGATTTTAGAGTGAGAAAGGAGGAGGGAGAGAAAGAGCGACGAAGGGGGCAGAGAGAGAGGAGAAAAACATCAATTTGTTGTTCCACTTGTTTATGCATTCATTGGTCAATTCTTATATGTGCCCTGACGGGGGATCAAACTCGCAACCTTATTGTATTGTGATGACACTCTAACCAACTGAGCTACCCAGCCAGTGCCTTTCTTCTTAACTATAACACAGAAGCAATATTGAAGGTAGAGCAGCCATTTTTTTTTTACCACAAGGTGACAAAAATAAGAAAGAAAGCAAAGAGTGGCCTAGTGAATGACAAGAAGGAACTCGAGTACCTGATAGCATAATAGAGCCTTTGTACCAACCCTGGACTGCCTTCCTCTGAGCTTCTTGCTGCATAAGAAAAATAAAGCCCTGTTTGGCTGTCACTGAAGATGGATCTCTGTAATACACCGTCAAATACAATTTCTATCTTATGTGATATATATGTTCAGGGCTAAGGAGATAAAAGTTACTAATAAAATAAAAGCATGAAAGTCCTAAGGCCTGTACCAAAATTTTTATTCTTCTGTATAAAGAGTCACCAAAGTGAACTAGGAGAGTTTAAATCCAAAAGGAGGTAGAGATGTAGCCCCAAAGATTGCATGACAAGTTCTTTCCAGCCAAAGAATCACCCCAGGTTTTTTTTAAGTCTTATTTTTTTGAGAAAAGAAAGAGCAACACACATCTCAGAAGAGTCAGGCTGAGAAAAGGCCAAGGAGACACAAAAACTTTCTTTGTTTAAATACCCATCTCTAAATAGCCAACTCACCCTTCTGGATGCTGCAAAACAGAAACCATCAATTCCACTGCCAGGGCTCCTGCAATCATGGCCAGTCCTGGACGACTCACAGTGCACTGCTGATCCAAGGTCCGGTCTTTGGTTGACTAGAGAGAGACAATCATTGACATGTGCTAAAAGGTCTATTCCACTCAACTCTGGCTGTCTGAAGCATGAAACTCCTCCATGATAAAGTTATACAACATAACCACATGCTCACTGTTGGCAAAGAACATTCAGCCTCAAATAATATAATTTCTTTTCTTTTTTTAATATTTTAAAAAAATTTCAGAGAGAGGAAGGGAGAGGGAGAAAGAGACCAAAATATCACAAAAGTAACTGTGTATTTCTTTTCTTTTTTTAATATTTAAAAAAAATATTTTTATTGATTTCAAAGAGGAAGGGAAAGGGAGACAGAGAAACATCAATAATGAGAGAGAATCATTGATTGGCTGCTTCCTGCACACTCCTCACTGGGTATGGACCCCACAACCCAAGCATATGTCCTGACTGGGAATCGAACTGTGACCTCCTAGTTCATAGGCTGATGTTCAACTACTGAGCCACACTGGCCAGGCACCAGTTGAAATTAAATTTTAAATAAACAATGAATACTTTTTTAGTATGAGCAGATCTTGGGACATACTTATACTATAATATTATTCATTATTTACCTACAATTAAAAGTTAACAGGGAATCTGTATTTTTACTTGTTAAATCTGATCAGCTATGAGCCATAGCCCCATTCTGCAGAAGGACATGTAGCCTAAAAGACTTACTTTGGAACTATCCCATTAGGCAGTGTCCAAGCCAGAACTAAAATCTGGGTCTTACTCCCCATTTAATGCTCTCTTCAGTAAGCTACACACAAGAGACAGTGCTGAGCAATGACAGGGACTGGTCCATCCATTTCCCTGCTGGGCTTTGCACAAAATGGTTTGTCACTGCATTTTTATTGGTGAGCAGGGAACAGCTATACACAGATGATGATGCCAATGAGGCTCACAGTGGGATAATGCCACCCCTAAACTGAAGAATTCTTCTCTTTATTAAAAGACAATATTTAAATAGTCATAAAAAGTCATGAGTCTCTTTAGCCTAATGGACAAGACAGTTATAGGAAATATTTGGAAACACAAAAAAATTCACTTACATCTCCGGGGGCCACCACATCATTGCAGAAATAGCAGCCAAGTTTGTAACCAGGGATGTTGGCAAAAAGCGACGAGCCCAGGTCTGCGGGTGCCACAGGGTGGCTGGGACACAAGTCTCCGGCACCCTGATGCTTAGGTTTCTTCAGGCCATGTCTCATGACAACAAATGTGTCAAAGCCCAAGGCAGCATTGATGACCAGCTGTCAAGGAAGAAAAGACTAGAATTAGGAGACATATATTTTAAGACGTGGCTAATTTCATATTTGGTCAACTTTTAAAATTTACTTTGTTAAGTATCTGCATATGAGTGTAATTAGATACTAGAAGATAATGTTGGTAAAAGTTACCCAACACTGAGGGCTTATTAAATCAAAAGATTTGACAGTGATTAACATAAATTTTCTCTTTTAGTTTCATTTAAAACTCCCAGCGAACATTTTCTATTTAAAGATAAGGATATTGAAAGTCAGAGAGGTTACCTCTATAATTTACTCAAGGTCACTTAGCTGGTAAAAGGTAGGTGTATAAAACCACATTTTGATATTTCCTAAACACCTTCTTTCCACAATTATGCTATGGTCTGTCATGTCTACATAGATTATTCTCATAATAGCTTTGAGATATAATTTATATACTATACAATTCACCATTCACACAGATTTTCAAGAACAGCTTTTATTTTTACTTATATTATGAGAACTTCTCTTAGTTGTAATTTAGCTTATTCTCCCAAATTTCTGGTTATATAGAAAGTTAGAAAAGTACAGAAAAACCACACCAGAAAAGAAAACTAAAACAATCTTACAGCTAAAACAGTTACTATAATAACTTGGGGGATTTCTTTCTATTATTTTTCCTTTTATCTCCCATTCTCTTTCTCTCCCTTCCTCCCTTCTTCTTGCTTCCTCCCCCCTTATAAACAGACATAGATATAAACATTTATATATAAGCATAATTGATATAAAATATATATAGTATTTTATCTTACTTATTTAACATAATGTAGTATTTTCCATGTTATTAAAATTCATTGAAAACATAACCATGAATGGTTGCATATTACTCCATCACATGTATGCACCATAATTTATTTAACCATCAAAATAAATGAATGTGTCACTGACCAAGTAGTAGTGAATAAGACAGTCTTGCCGTCTTGGAGCTTATATTTTAGTGTGAGTACCCCTTCTAATATAGAGTACCTCAAAGGGCTATGAAAATTAAACAGTGAAGGATAACTATTATGCTGGATGATGGTTGTGAGGCAGATAATCTGCAGTGGAAGCCCTTTTGCACCGTGTCAGTAGTACACACAAAGCACATGTTTTTTCTGGAGGGAGGGTGAGCTGGGGACTTCTCCCTCTACGATGATGGTGCATTAAATCACAACCAGAGACAAAAGCCCCAGGATACACACACTTTACCTTTCTCTTGCTCGCAGCAATGACGGCAGGAAGCCACCGGCTCTCCCTGGTGTCCATCAACAGAAAGATAACATCATGGCTTTCGATGAGCTGCTCCAGTTGCTCCACATCCCTGCGGGCTTGCTCCAGGGTGACGCTGGAGAAGTTCACTGGATGTCCAGGCATGGGGATGCTCATGTTGAACCCTCTGGCATTCTAGGGAAACACCCAGATATATAGATGTCTGAAGCGGAAGTATAGCTGGTGTCTCAGAGCCCATGTCTCCCCACAGCTACAAGCATGTATGTATGGTCGCTTGCAACTAGAAATTTCTCCATGCATAAGTATGCTGCTTTTTCCTTTTGCTATCTGTGCTGTTAAGCTTCATTACCTCTGTATCCTAGACCTCCTTGACCTGTCACCACAAGGTCCCTAAGTCTGGATAAAGCAGCAAACACAGAAATATGGATACTGTGTGGCAGGGGCACTTCCCAAATGAGGCAAGAACCCTGGAGATAACTGTTTATCTTTTGCTCTTTCTTTAAATCTGAGGCCAAAAAACTTCATCAAAATGCCCTCTGCCTGCACAAATCCCCTCTGCCCAGTAGAGCTGTCTCTTCCGACTCGTTTCCAGCGTGCCCTCTCTCCATTTCCTTAGAGTATAACATCTCCAAATGGGATGTTATAACAGAAATCATTTTAGTTAATAAATTCACATAAGATCAGAATGACTGCTAGTCTTGCCTTAGTCTTCTTAGGGTTATACACATTAAAAAAACACACACCTCAAACCCCAAAACTCTGCTTGCTAACTTTCAGCCAGAAAAATCTATAAATCTATTTATGACTGTGCAGATATTTGTTTGGAAGGTGAGGAGGTTAGGATGGGGGAGGGGGTTTGATAACAGCATGTGGTACTAAAGTGAAGCCTCCTGCTCTGTCCAGAAGCTGGGGACATTAACTTCTCATAGAAAGAAAGAGTTCCAGACTCACAAACTGCTCCTTTAATCCCCTGCATAGAGCTGGTCACAGGGAAGTCTGTGAAAACATCAGCTTTTTCATTCCTTTGCCAAAACCCCTTACCTACTAGAAAAATAGCTCAGGGGCAGGGCAAGTAGGTCCTGTTACAAAGGAAAATCTATTTTGTATACTGTAGCTATTTTTCTCCTAATCTTAAACTTTAAATCTAATCTATGCAATTCAAGAAGGACAATAGTGACAATAGCAACAATTTTTAAAAGAATTTTAAAAAATAAAAAAAAAAGTTGCTAGCAAAGCAGGAAACGACGCCAGACAGAAAGAAAGGACTTCAGAAAGAATAAACGTTCAAAACAAGTCCATTTGAACAATGAAAACACCACAAAGAGAATTCTTGGGACCTCATTCGTTCATCCATTAAGTATGGTACATCATCAAAATAAAAAGCTTCTGCACAGCAAAAGAAACCATCAACAAAACAACGAGAAAACCCACTGCGTGGGAAAACATATTTGTCAATGTCATATCTGATAAGGGCCTAATCTCCAAAATTTATAGGGAACTCATACAACTTAACAAAAGGAAGATAAACAATCCAATCAAAAAATGGGCAAAGGACCTAAATAGACACCTTTCAAAAGAGGACATTCAGAAAGCCAACAGACATATGAAAACATGCTCAAAGTCATTAATCA